GGCCCTGGGAAACTGAGGTTACACAGACTACAAAGCGACATGCTAGAAATGACCCAGGAAAATACAGAGTTCTGGGGAAATGGAGTGTGTTTCAAAAGAGAAAAGGCAGCATTGGCTTGGAGATCAGGAAAGATTTTACTCACATAGTGGCGTACAACTTCAAAGAATGTGAAAGTATTTAAAAATTGTTTTCTAATCACAATAATAATATAAATTTAGTTTGATAAGTACAGAAACACGCAAAAAGTGAAAATCACAAATTATTCTACTACTCCAATAAAACCACCATTAACATTTGAAGAGTATATCTTTGTTCATTGTATTTATTTATTTATATCTATATCTACCTAAAAATATATCTATAAATATCAATAGATATATAGATATGAAAGTGCATGTGTTTGTGGATATATGCACATACATACAGATGTATGCATATCTATTTCAAAACAAAAGTTGTGATCGATAAGGATTCTGACGGGGGAAGTAGAAGGTAAGAGAGAACAGGCACTGGCAGAGAAAAGCAAGCACAGAGAGGGAACAGCCAAACCAGTTTCTAGAGAAATCACAATGGGCACAGTACACATAACACTTGGCCACCTCGCTGCTTGTGATTTCCCTCTGATCAGCCATACCGCACTGGGCAACAGGCCCAGGTTACTAGACTAACATTTTTAATGGTTACTTTAATACTAAACATCCTTGAAAGACTTTTCTGACCCTTATAAAGGGAAATAGCAGAAGGACTTTGATGGCTAGCACTTGACTGCTGATTCACTGAGTGAACTTGGTCAGGCAGATAATCTTTCTTTTCCGGTTTTCCCTGAAACAGGGCAGGCAGGTTTCTGTCCCTGAGCAAAAGCATCAGCATAAGGAGAGTCACTCAGGGCCACCAATTTGGGTGAAGTGTCTGCTTGCATAATTTTTTTTTTCTCCCAGAACTATAAAAGTAATTTATCCATCCATCTCTGGCAAAAGAAACCATTATCCTGTCCTTAATGTGATCTAATTTAGATGTCAACTACATTTATGAGCCCTCAATTCATTATGTTATCAAGATAAACAGATAGTGCCCCACGCTCAGCATGAGGGCAAAATGATTTGTAGGGCCTAGAGATCAGTCAATAAAAACCTATTTGCAGTGCCATTGAGCATGGCAGGGCCTCCCAGAGGAGGCGCCTCATTCTCAGAGAATCAACAGACTATAAAAATAGTTTTAACTCATTGTTGAGACAGAGTGGGAGAAAGCAGAGAGGAAATCCCAAAGCAGTGGAGGAGAAGTGAGGGAAGTTCTTTTCAAAAGTGTCTAAATGGTACACGATCAAGAGAAGCCACAGGCTGTGGCTTCAGTGGCTGAAATGCAGCCAACATCACTGAACTCAAGTACTCACCTCTGCAAAGAGATAGCCAGAGCCATTCGACCAGTATTACTGGAGGCCTCCTATGTGCAGAATAACACCAGGTGCTGTGGGTGAAAATCTAACAGAAGTTCTGCTGCCAGGGTGCTTGTAACCCAACGTTCGTGCACAACCACAGTACTCAACATCAAACCAAGTGTCAGGAACCAGCCTGGGAGCCCAGAAAATAGTGTTAACCCTTTCCCCAGGAAAAAGCTGTTCACCTGCGATAAGCAGAAAGCTTTTGCTTTCAGTAATCAATTCTGTTTCTATGTAATCTAGTCTCATACCTGCATAAAGACGGATTATAAAAATAAGTCAATCTTTTTAGTTATATAGATTATACAAGATTACAAATTTTCTAACTTTTAAAATCAGGATATAAACCACATAAAACTGAATATTAAAAAGACTAAATTTGCCCTACTCATTCTCTACTGACAGATTTAGTAACAACATTTGTGGGATATAAAATTATATAAATTTTTAAGAAGAGATGGTTGTTTTGTTAATCCCAAAACTAACTGCCTTCCATACCAGGCAAAGAGGCAGGAAGGCTTCAGCTAAGTTAGGGAAGTTCTGTGCCCACCACCCCATACATCCATCTCCCCAACGACCCTCCCCAAATAACTAAGAGGAAGAACAAAAAGAAATTTTGAGTAGCAATAAATCCAAGATCTATTTTTCAGTGACAATCTCATAGTTTTGGGTTTGAAAACATTGTCAGTGAAAACAGTCTTGTGTCAAGTCTAAAATGATGTAAATGTATTTTCTTATTTGCTCTGTTTGAATGCTTTCCTGTACAAATGATCCTCTCAACGTCACTGCATAAAGGAATCAGGCAAATCTGGGACAGTTTGGTCAGAGCATGGTATGATGAGCACAGTATGAGAACGAAATCTCATCTCTGCCACAGATTTTCTCCTAGATCACAGGGCTGGCCCCTCACCATTCAGTCCTCTGCTCAGATGTCACTGGTTGGACGTGGACAAAGGAGGGAGTCGCATCAGGGATTTGCCCAGGTTTCATATTTGGCTAATGGGATGGACAGCAGTTCTACCAACCAAGTCAGGAGAAACTGCAGGCTTATGGGGAGGTGGGGGAAGGAGAGGGGGATGGAGAGGAGAGAGATGATTAATTCAGCTCACTTATGGACATTGTTGTGCAATCCGTGGAGATGTCCAAAACATAACTGAATATACAGTTCTGGAGCTCAGGCAAGAAATATGACACAGAGAAGCGAACATCAATACAGATGAGTAAAAAATCATAAAGGTACATGAGATTATCCCAACAGAAGGGACGAGAAGCAGAAGGAACAAGAAGCAGAAGGAAAGAGTGAGCATAGAATCCTGAAAAACACCAATATTTAAGGGACAGAGGAAGTAAATTCAGTGACAGTAAGGAAAAATGGCCGAATTGGAGGGAGAACCAAATGAAAGGTGTCAAGGGAAGATTTATGGTGTCAAATAAGATAGAGGAGTCAAGGTATGGGCTGAGAAACTGGGTTATGTCCATCGAATTATGTCCTTCACTACTGTAGTTTCTGTAGTGCGACAGGAATAGAAACAGTGGGTGAACGGGAGGTGGGGGTGGGGTGGATGTGGAGATAATGTGTACACTTTTTTCCTCCTAAGTCAGGGAGAAAAAAAAATAGAGCAACTAGAGGAAGGACAAATTGGCTAGGAAGGGATTTTTTATAAGTAGAAGAGTCTTGAGTATGAGAGGCCTACACCGAGAGAGAGAACACAGAATTACAGGTGGGAGAGCAAATAGCTGGTGGATTAGGTAGAGAGCACAGAGGATGACTGGTGTTCAACAGGAAGAGGATACTCGAGACCAGAAGAAACGACTGATATGAATGCAGGTAAGTCTAGAGGTGGGAACAAGAAGGGAAGAAGGTGACAGAATTTCTCAATGCTCTCACTGAAAAGGGTTAGTGGGGATATGGGGAATGGAAGGTGAGGCTGAGCAAAGATCAATAAAAGGGTGAGTTAGAGCGGGATTCAGGAAAGTTGGAGGTCTAGAGAAGAAAAGTGATTTGTTTGAGGTCGCATTACTGTTACTGCTTAGGAATATAGCAGTAAGAGGAAGGGGGCTGGTTTGCAGAGGGGAACTGACATGTACTGAGTGTCTAGTAGGTCCCAAGCACTGTCCTTGGTGTTTTATATAAGATTATTTAGATCACACAATACAATCCAATAAGGTACTAATATTATTGGTTAAAAAAATTTGAGGTTCCAAGAGGTTGAATAACTTGGTCAAGGTCATAATGCTAATACGCATTCATATCTGTATCTTTTGGCTCCATGCATGGTAGTAATCCTGGGGCCCCAAGCCAGTCCCCTTTCCACTCAACCATATTTTTTCTCCTTGGCACTTGTTAAAAAGAATGATGCTACCCCGAACAATAATAAATAATACTAAGTGCATCAGTGGAAAAATCAATGTTGGGGTTTTACACATCATTTAACCCTTCCAAGAGCCTAATGGGTAGGTCCTATGACTGTACAAATGAAGAAACTGAGGCACAGAATGATTAAGTAACTTGCTCATTATCACAGAGGTAGTAAGAAGCAATGCTAACCAGAGTCCGTGGTCTTAAACACTCCTGTACTGCCTCTTATGCAATTTGAAAGGTGGTTGTGACTTCTCCCCCTCTGGAGAGTTTTGAGATTGCGTTTAAGAACTATTCTTCCTAAAGGGCAGAGGAATGGACCAGGTAGATACCTTCAGACTTAATGTTCTGGCATGTATAAATTGTGAAAAATAAAAACGTGAGCAGAGGAACATGGTGGTCTGATAGGATTATCAGCTGCTCCTTTTAGGGGGGAAAAAATAGCATTTCTTATAAAACACTTGAATGAGCAGTCCAGGGAGGGGCCCAATTACTTTTTGCCAAGAGAGACTTTTTTGTGTGCTTAAAAGCTCCTACCTTTCAGGCAAGTTTTAAAACCCACAATTAATGTGCTTGGGAAGTTAACGAGCAGCGTAAATACTATTCCACGATCCTGCAAAGTGTAAAAGGTACAGAGTTGTAACATTATGAATAGCCCTTCAGGGCAGTACTTTATGATGGTCTGGACCCTAGCCAATTCTCTCTGGGGACCGGTCTGTAAGGACTACTGCTGCTTCGAAGCGGTGGTCCTTGTCAAGGTGGTAGAGGGATGATACTACTGCATGTAGCGGACTCCCAGATCCTTAAGACCAAGGATGTGGCCTCAATACAAAGACTAATGAGCTACATACTGAACAGTTTTTAATTTTCTGGCTGAGTAATACTGATATGCCCTTTCTAATCCATTCTGCTTCACTATCGAGTACCTCAAATGTCAACACCCTGTTCCAAAACCTTCAAGGGCCACCTAACAGAATATTGTTCATTCTTCAATTAGCATTTAAAGTTCTCTCCAGTGTAGCTTAAACCTACTTTCCATCACTCTCTCACTCTGCTTTAGTCATAAATTTTTGCCTTTTCCCCGGTCACTGCCCTCCATGCCAGAACTACAATCCCAGAGTTTATCTATATTCCTCTGCCCAGTTTCCTTCCTGTAACATTCTCCCAACTTATTTACATGCTAATCATCCTTCAAAGCCTACTCACTCAAATGTCAGCCCCTAGAAGCCTTCTTTGTAACTGCTCACTATGATATCTACCTGAATTTCCATTCAAAGCATTTATCAGACTGTCTTTGATGTTTTTCTACACCTGTTCCTTCTATCTAATCAATTATAAATTACTGTAGGGAAGTCTTTAACTTCTGAATCCAGTACAGTAGGGAGCACAATAGCACAATATACATGATCAGTAATTGCTGAAGGTGATTCTGAACTCTGGTTTTAAAATATCCATAGATATTGCCAATTTTCTCAAAAAATATTTTAGACGAAATTCCACAAAGATTACAGTATTTTTAAGGGTGTAAAAAATAGGGTAATGCAGCTTTAAGCTGGGCCTCTACCTACAGAGACATCTGAGTTTAGAAGTCCATTTCTCTTACAGTAGATATGATCATGTGTAGACTACTACTTGAATGTGTTAAGTTCCAAAGGCTCGTTAAAGAGGGGAAATTAGCAAAGCAGGCAGACAAATACTTCTTGTGCTGCCTTTCTTTCTATAAACTACTGTTGGGTTAATTTAATACACGAGAACCCAAATAATTTTTTTAACTCTTCTGCATCAATTCTACTTCAAAATGACACAAAGTATGGAGAATGAAATAAAATGTGTTGTATATTTGTTACCAATTATCTCTATATTATGAAAGATGTAATAATAGTTTGTCAGTTGTCACTGCTGCATCTTACAACACGATGCAGAATGAAGTGTAGCAGAATGATCTTCATAAAATAATCTGCATTATCTGATTACTTCAGATATTTAACATCATTTATCAAGACTTTGGTTTCTACATACTGATAGAAAGAGATCATTTCTCACACAAATAAGGCAGGGTCTGGCTCTTTCCATGTGCTGTAAAGCACAGGAATTTTTAAAGCAATAGCTAACATTTTTCATGCCAGGCACTGGGCTAACACCCTACATGTATCTCGTTAACTAACCATCACTACTATTATCCTCATTTTACAAATGGAAGTGCTTTTGAGAAGTACAACCCAAGGTCATGGCTAGTATGTGGTCAACCTGAGACTCGGGTCAGCCTGACCCTAAATCTCATTCTTTAGAAATCAGCAAATTAGCTAACATTTTGATTTATAAAAATCTCCTTCCAGAATGAATATGCTCTGGTCACTGCTGCTATTAGCCTTTGTATTTACAAAATAAAGAGACTTACTGACTTCTGGTTTACCTTCAGATTCAAGTGTGTCAGGCTCTTTCAACGTTTTAATTATCTTAAATGAGTCCGTGATTATCCCTACTTATCTCTGAAGCCTTCTAGTTACTGCATCGGCTATGTCTTTTCTTCATTTAACATTATTTGGTTCCTATTGAACTCAAAAACAGAGTTCAAGGAGATATCGGCATGAAACAGACAAAATATGTGCCTTCGAGGAACTGAAAGCATTACATATAATCAAGGTGAGGTTCTTCATTTATCAAACATAGCGTGAATGTTTCCTCCATGCGTTTTAACTCAATTATGAGACAAAAGATTTTCAAAATCCTAAGTCCACGGCACATAGTTCCTCCTACCTGTATGACAGAGCACCTGGCAATCCACCTCGTTTTGTGGTTATGAGATTCTAATTTAGTCACAGATATAGTCTCCACGCGACAGTCGTTGATGCATCAATTCGCCCAATAGTTACTGATTATCTACTCTACGAACAAATCAAGGGTTCTGTCCCCGTTAAGTTCACTGTCACGAGGGGCCTCTGACACTTTTTTCCTCAGAGAGATTTCCCCTGATCTGGGTGAGGTCACGGCTCCAGCGACCCGCAATTAATGGCTGCCCCTCTTTACAGTGCAAGCTCCATGGCTCCATCGCAAGCCCAACAGCGCGCGTTCGTGGCGGATGTCCACTAAGGGAGCGGAATGGATCGAGCGATCCGTCGGCCCACCGCCGCCGTCGCGCCGGAGAGCACAACCGCGCTCTCACTTCACCTGCAGCCTCCCACCGACTGGCCGCAGTCAAAACACCGCATCCCCAGTTCTGCCCCACCCGCGCTCGGGACACGGTGTTCGCGGTGCTGGCCGCCGCCGCCTCCGCCGCCCGAGCGGGAAAGGGCGAGAGAAATCTGAGCTACCTCTTAGACAGAAGCCAAACGCCCTCAAACAACCTATCTCAAAACCGAGCGCTCACCTCTGACGTGAACCCGTCGCGAGATCCGGGGATACGGGGCCGCCACGCGTCGCCCCAGCCAATCCGGAACCCGCTCCGGGCCGCCCCACCCACGGCGCACACGCACACGCCAACCGAGCCGGCCCCGGCTTCTGATTGGCTGGAGCCGGCTGTGGGCGGGACGGGGAAAGCAGGCCCGACTGAGAGCGCAGGAGGGGTCTTGAAGCTGGCTGATTGGAGTTTTGTGGGGCCCTGTCTGTTTTCGGTAAGTGAAGTACGGAGGAATATTAGGAGCTGGGGATGCCCAACAGTGGGGCGGGAGGAAGTGGGGCCGCGCTCGGCTGAGCTGAGAGCACTTTGGGAGAGTTGGGGATCGCGGGCCTGGGAGTGGAGCGAGGCCTGGAATGAAGTGGGCGAAGTATCACTGGCGGGTCTCGGCTGGACCTCGTGGTTCAGGGAGGTGGGGGATCCAAAGACAAGGCCTGATGCCCTGTCGGATGAGGAGATACGGAGCCGACGAGAAGATGAAGCCGACACTTGTGGAGCGAATCGTGGCCAAGGGAAGACTGGCGGTTAGGGGCGTCATGAGTGACCCGTGGAGGGGGCTGGGGCTGGGGCTGGGGCTGGGGCTGAGCCGGCGCCGGGAAACCGGTAGCATGGACGGTACCCGGAGCGTGGAGCCGAGTGGTGGATGAGGACGGATTGGGACGGCGAGCGCTCCGCCCAGGCAGTCCCGACAAGGTCACAGGAAGAGAGAGAGGAGGAAGGTGAGAAGGTTGAGGGGAGAGCGTCAAACCACACGCCCTTCCTCTTCTCCCCGACCCCGTGTTTACACTCACCCACCGCGACCCTCTCTTTCGAGCCCTAGGAAGGTGAGAAGGCCTCAGTGACGGAATTTTAATTTCTTCCGCTTAGAGATTACAAAACATAGCAAATGAGTCTGCGCTGTAACTCGCCCTTATCTTTTTATTACCGGCGTGGGAAGCGATTGTTTCCCCTTTTGGGGTAATCCGCACCAAAGGCATGTGTGCTTCGGGAGGTACCCAGGCACTTTCGAGTTAGGATGAAAAGTTCTGACAGATTGAAGCGGTACCAGGCCCCAGCATGAAAACCTGTTTGAGTCCTGTAAACCAGAGCTTCTCTTACTTCGTGTGCACCAGAATCACTTGAAGGGGGCTTCTTAAAATACACGTTCCTTGGGCCCTGTCCCAGACTATATGAATCAGAATCTTCAGGGCGGGGCCTTGGCAGCCATTTTTAAACAAGCCTGCAGGTGACCGATGCGAAATTGACACCATTGTTAGTTTGTGATACCAAAATGACAGGCTGTGATGATCCTTCAGTCGGTCGCATCGCCCGATGCTGGGCAGCTCATCTTCCCTTATGCCTCTTCTTGGTAGGTTCTTATGCATTTGGAAAGGTCTTCAGTAGTATCTTACTTGGTGTACAGAGTAATTTGTGTATTCCAAACTGGCTTTGAATATCTGGTGCCTTTTTTTGCACTTTTGGACCTTCTGACAGAGTCTGGGTCAATTGCTGTGGGTGGATGAGGAAATGATAATAAAGGAAAATCTACAAGTGGTGCTAGTGAAAAAAATATTTTAAAATCACATTTGAAATTGTTGCATAGATCTCTGGGAGAAGAAACTCTAATTTTAGGCATGACTTAACATATTTTTTTACAATTCAAAGAAAGAGATGCCACCCCAATAAATTTAATTTAAACAATGACATTGAATTGTACACTTGAAACCTATATAATTTTATTAACCAATGTCACCACAGTAAATTTAATTAAAATAAGAAATGCTGGCTTCTGTTAAGGAATGGATTTTAATATTTTTCAGATTAAAAATGTACCAACATCATGAGATTGATAAGTTGGCAATATATTGTCAATCAAAAGAATGCTGGACTGTGTATCAGAACTGGGTTCTAGTCCTACCCTGCCAGAAATGAATTACTGCTGTTGAGCACTTTATATAACCCTTCTTAACCCTTTTTTCCATCTGTAAAATAAGGCTGTTGGCATGAATTAATCATCTGGGTTGTTATTCTTAAATTATTTGATTTATAGTTACTGACTCTGATACTTTAAAAGCTAACCATTTTCAGTTTAGGCGGCTGTAAATCATGAATGCTTGGGAAACTTCTAGGTGGTAATTAGGAAGAGAATTATCAAAATCTTATATTCAGGAAGTGTTATAAATATAACACTGTAAAAATCAATAAGGTTGTATAAAATATAATTTGATATAAGTGTTGGATTTTTAATATTTTTATTTATCTTGAAATGTTCACATGAAGTGTCCTAGTTCAGAGATAAATTATCATTAATCACTTAAAGCAAATAATGACCACATGGTCCCCCCACACCCTGATTCTTAACCCCAGGTACTGCTTTCTGAAAGCCAGATCAAATTTCCAACCCATAGAAACTTTAGAGTTTGTATCATAGGTGACAAATGGAGATCGATGGATGTGCTTCTGTTCTTTCATATACATGGCAGAGACCACCATCCCCCTCCCTTCTGAAAGGAGTGGGGGAAAAAACTTGCTTTATAGACCTCTTGGACAATTACAGTGATCCAGAATGAGAGTTAGAGGAAAACCTACCTCCTCTCTTGCTTTTAAAGACAATTCTCAAATTAAGGCAAAGGAAGAAAACATGCTTTTATATCTGCCAAAGAAGGTGCTAGTTTTTAAAAATGGATTGTGATATATAATAGTTTTGTCTTTTGTGGTTGCAAGAAATTGAGACCTACTCAGGTTATCATTTCTTCTTTCATGGTATAAGAATAAAAAACAAATAAGCACTTAGGCATATACAGTTTGGCATTTTTTAACTGACTGATTAAACTCTACAAATGTATATCATTGTTATTGTTTTCACTAAATATTTCTAAATAAATTACCTGAGAATAATTTTAATTATTGAAAAATATTACTTTTAAATTTATTCAACAAGCATTTTGTAGTGTACTTACTATATGCAAAGCATTTTGCCAGGCAGTGGAGAGAGAAACAAGCAGGGGCAGATTATCAAAATCTTATAGCAAGTGTAGCCTCCTGACTTTACAGATTCTAGCAAGAAAAACAGTTAAACAGGCATTTATAAGAAAGTTATTATCGAGAAAACATAGAGTTCTATGGGACTGCATAACCAAGACACTTATCATAAACTTATAGGAGATCAATTAAGATAAGAACCTGAAAAATTGGAAGAGTTTGCCAGGAAAGAGTATATGAAGGAAATGGAAAGGGAGGAAAAATGGAAAGGGAATCAGCTTGTGCAAAAGCTTGGAGCTCTGGAGAGCATCTATAAAAAGTTTAATGTGATTCTCATGTGACTTTGGCAAGGGAGGTAGGAGAATTGTTGATAAAAGTTGTGCCTTTGAGAAGTTTATGATTAGTTATGAGGGCAACTAATAAACGTATACTTACCTAAAATAAACACAATATTTAATCTCCATCTAGTCCATTTACGTAGTTTCTTGAAAGCCAGTTTCAAATATTTCTCTGTGAAACTTCCCAAACCTACTTTAGCTAAAAGATATCACACTAAATTCAGTTCTCATTGTCTCTATTATGCTACTAGCAAGTAATCATACTCTGTCATATCTTTTTTAAAAAATATAATTTTCGAACCGTTTAATTATTTCAGTGTTTATGTCTTATCTTTTTAAATATATAGTGAGTGTTCTGAACCTTGAGCTTGTTGAATCTTGAATATAATAAAAGCTTAGTAAGTAGGGTTTTATTCAATTAGCAGATAATAGAGTAAAAAAAGAGAGAGTGAGAGAGAGAGAGAGAAAGTCTAGTTCTAATCTGAGTTTTCTCCTATCTAGTTGTGTGATACTGCACAACTCCTCTGGATTAAGATTGTTTTCTCTGTCAAATGACAGAATTAGACTCTTCCCAATGGGGATGTGTATTTGGAAGGATGATTTTACTTTTAAACCTAAGCCTCACTTCTATAGAGTTGGATTTTGTTTGAGAGCCTTAACCACTACTAACACCCCTTGAATAGCAAGGTTTTGAATGGGAGCTGTTGTTAGAGAAGCGAGTATGATGCACATGAAAATCTCAGTATCGAAGGTAAGCTTTACATGGGTAGTTGAATGGGCGGTTGACTTGAGTTTATTGTAATTGACATTGGAAACTTGTGCACTTACATACTGTATTTGACTTCCTTATTTTATCTTTAGGTAAATTTTATAGGCAGTTAAAATCAGCTTAGTGAGAAGGAAGTATGTACATAGTTACTGTGACTAAGGTGAAATTGAATTCGTTATTACCTCATCGTGATGAAACGCCTGTTAACTTTGTGTGTAAAAGAAGATGACTGAAAAGGGAGAATGAAGCCTTTGGTCCCTGTGATAATGGAAATGAAATTTTTTTCCTGTCCCCTTATTCGTATAATGATTGGGCTAGTATCTTGCCCTTTTGGGGACCACTTCAAGGAATACTATTATTAAAGAAGGTAAAGAATTTTAAGAGGGAAGCCATGGGAATATAAGGTGTGTAAAGGAAGAAAGCTAAAGGTTAGGAGATATTCATTAAGAAGACCCTGAGGGGATAGTTCAATTTTATGCTAAGGAGAAGTTAAAAATGATAACCCTAAGTCATAAAAAACTAAAAGTTCAATTGAACATAAATTATGTTTAAAAGGAGACATTTCTAGCAATCGGATTTAAGATAAAAGCTTTGTCCTTAAAAAGAGTAAATAATGAGCTAAGTAGAAATTTTTGCTATTCAGACTAACTGTAATCTTCCCCAAAGACAGCCACCATCAATAATAGAGATTAATGTAATAGAATGGAAACTATTCAGAGGTGAGAACTGAAGCCAGGTAACATGTTGGAATAAATAAGTCAGTTGCAGTTGAAAGCAATGAAGACTACACTTAACTACACTTAAAAATATTTAGTAGGATTTTCAACATAATTTTGAAGATGCAATAAGGACTATTAGTTTGGTTTGAGTAATTTAAAGATGTCAATTGAAGTTGATTAAGGATCAAGACAGAAAATTAAGAACTGCAATTTTAATCGACAAAAATAATTTTAAATTTTTTAGTTCGCTTTTATTAACAGTATGAGACTAAAAAGGAATTGGTCGTATGGGAGAAACGTCAAAACAGTAGGAGGCATAAAAACATACAACTCTCCCTAAAGGTGGCCATGGATTACAAATAAAGTTGATTTCTAAGAATATTTTTTAAAGTTCGTGGATAGCATATACCAGATTTTTATGGAAACTAGGATTCTTTTAAGTACATCCAATCATTTAATGTTCTAGTTGGTTTTCACTGCAGAACCTCATGGAAATTCTCTTTCAGAAAGATTCTTCAATCACTATGTCATCCGATACAGATGTTTCTCTTTCTTCGTATGACGAAGGTCAGGGATCTAAACTTATCCGAAAAGCTAAAGAGGCACCGTTCGTCCCCATTGGTAAGTTTGACTTTGACGTTCTAATAATCTGTTGACTGTTTTAACACAGTCGAGGTGTGATCATTCATCAAGTACATCTATAAAGCATTTATTTTCAAATATTTTTTTATATGTTGTTGAAATATGTTGAGATTGGCACTATATAACTCTCATTATAAAAATTCTGTGTGTATTTAGACTTCTTGTTTTATTGACTCGTATTTCTGTGAATGTGTTGAGGGGACTCTAAGACCACCGTGTCTCCATGATTTGCTAGAAGGACTCACAAGACTTTAAAAAAAGCTGATATACTCACAGTTATGGATTATTACAGTCTCTTATATTAACTGATTCTCTTCAGAGACGGAAGTAGCACGGAAAGGAAGCGTCCCCCTGGCGCTCTTAAAGGAATTTGTCTACTGGCTTCACAAGCCCACATTTTGAAGATCTTAACTTTCTGGATCTCCTACTCTTTGCTACCAATTTTGGATTTTTGGTTCTGAGTGGGGGCGGGAATTAAAAACTCGGTGTGTATGTTAACTAATTAATGGTCTCATAAAGTATCCTTATAAAAAATAGTAGCAACTACGTTGATTGATGGTGAAATCATCTCCGTTCCCCGTCCCCGTGTGTCTGACATACTCGTGGCTATTTGTTTTACAGGAATGGCAGGTTTTGCAGCAATCGTTGCATATGGATTATATAAATTGAAGAGCAGGGGAAGTACTAAAATGTCCATCCACCTGATCCACATGCGTGTGGCAGCCCAAGGCTTTGTCGTGGGAGCAATGACTCTTGGTAGGTTCCTACAGGAAATTTTCAAATTCATGGTTCCTCATTAATGCATTTCTTTGTAGATAAAACAAAGTAGATACTTTTAGCTAACTTTGAAGCAGTTTGCAGATAACACTTATATTTATTTTCATGGAAAAGTGAATTAATAAAAATAGTTCAAGTAGTAACATAATTTTACTGTCTATGATATATCTTACTAAGGTCTGAAAGAAAGAAAAGACAATCCTGTCCATCACTGATTTATAATTTCATTGAAGAGTCTAGACATGCACATAGGATTGGAAATAATATCCATTATCTGGAAGAGACATGATTGCTATTTTATTGAGTTTTTGAAGGTGGAAAAAATTTTTTTAATGTAGGTATTACATGTTTTTATTAGCTTTATAATACATTGACTTTATCTGGTATTGTATAGCAAAAGTGACTCCTTTTAAAGGTGCCAGATAAATATTGATTGTCCTTTAAAACAAATATTTTAATAGTCTGAGCTAGTCATATTAGCCACAAGCTACTTGGAAAACTGAAAAGAATTTTAGAAATTTACATTGTTTAAGAAGGCAATAGTGTAAGCAGCCTAAGGCCTTGTTCCCCTTGTAAATATTGCATGCTAGCAAGGATGCTACATTTATCTATTTTATGAACTGTTTCTAATTTTATTTATATCTAAATTTTAACTAGCATTCTTTTTTTTAGGTATGGGCTATTCCATGTATCAGGAATTCTGGTCAAAACCTAAACCTTAGAAGAAGAGATGCTGCCTTGGTCTTCGTGGTACTTGCTATAGTTAGACATCTCATATTGAGGTTATATGTTTACGTGGAAAATAAATCCTACGAGTGGGTCTGACAATAACATGGTAATTTGAATATTAGCTTCCTTTCTTGCAGGCTTGTTTTGCCTTGTGACTAAATTACTAGTGACTAGTTCACTAACTAGGTCGTTCAGGGGAGTCAAATTAGCACACAAGAAACATGTCACTTTTAAATGCACTTGATAGTGATAAAATGTCCACTTTGTTAAACTCTCCTGATGAAATTAGTTCTAAAGAAGACAACATGGCAGTCCTGAAGTACTCCCAGTTGCTACAGATCACACGCTTTTGATATTGTGTAGGAATCCTGTTCGCTACAGTTAATGTCACTTTTTTCTGCCATGCAATGGTGAATGTCGTGGACTGAATGAGTACTTCAGTTTTTAGAGCTGGTTGGCTCCTGAAGAACCTTTCAGAACGGTGCACGGCATATAACATTACAAGCTTCCCCACAACTAAATGTGTGTGTTTTGTGTGCTTAAGCCAAATCTAAAATGCTGAAGCAGAGCTGCTAGAAGATAGTATTTATTTCAGAATCGTACTTGTAAACATAAGAATAACTTAATTATGGATCCCAGTTTAGCTCTTTTAAATGTCATCTTGAAATAGAAATATGTTTTTCAGTGCTAATGCAAAGGCAATGAAAAACACTTTTGGAATGTGTGCAGTATGTTTATTTTCTCTGTAAGAATCATAAATGTTAAACCAAAAAATTACCTATAATGGAAGTGATTAACGAATTATGAGCAAGCTGGTCAGACACTAGACACAAATAAGGCTTTTCTGCACTTGTGAAATTCTCTTGTCTAACCTGAATTTACATTCCATGGTGACATGGTAAATGTAGTATTATTAAACTAAGTGAACATATCGAATGTCTTGTTTTTATTTCAATTTGGAAAAATTAATCATTTCTCAAAGTAGCATAAGAATTAAGTTTCCAGAAGAATGTTTTATGCCTTTGGTAGGAACCAGAATTAAAAGAATTCTTACCAAATAGGAATAATGACTGACATTTATTGAGCATTAACTGTGTGGCACACACTGCTCTAAGCACTTTTCACATATAACGTCATTTACGTTTCCTAACAACTTTAAGAAGTAGGAGCTATGATCCTCATTTCATAGGGGGAAACCGAGACATGAACAATCTAGGTAACCCAAGTTCGCTAGAAAAGGTTGTAGGTTTGGGACTGGAACCTGAGTAATCAAGTGGTAGATGCCAACAGGTGTTAAAGAAACTTGAAATATTGGCCTTTGTGAAGTTAATGCTGGAGTGGCAGCAATTATAAAATTAGACAGGAGGTCATCGCATGGTCTTGACTCACCACTGAGTCCGTAACCTGGACCAAATCAGGGTTTTCTCACTCTTTTCCTAGCTATGAAATGAAAAATTAGTCTAGGTCATTTCTGTGGTCCTATTTATCTTCTAGATCATTATGTGAGTCTGAGAAAGTGCTTAAAAATATAAGCTATTACTAGGAACTTTAATCAGCTTCCAATAGACATTATAGGAGATGCTTGTAGGCAGTCCTAACAGTTGTTTCATGAAGGATAAGCCGCCTGTAGAAGAACAAATTTGAGAACAAGTTTCAGAAAATCATCATTCTAATAGATGAGTATATTACTGATTTTGTGAAACTAAATAAATGCTAATTTGAGAGAAATTGGTCTAGACAAATGCCAGAGGATAGAGAGAAGAACAAAGTGAAGTAAGCGTTGAGATGATAATGATCATTATGTGATCATCAGTGGGATTGCTTGCCTGAAGATGAGAATTATAAGTTAGGGTGGGTGAATAGGCTGGCACTATTTTCTACTGAATTAGACCTAGGTTCTGCCACCTACTAGCCGAGTAGCCGTGGTTTCCTCATCTGTAAAATGGAGATAATATTAGTGGTCTAGGGTTGTTGGGAAGATTAAATGCAATGGTGAATGTCAAGAGCTTAGTGTAGCACCTGATAGATTAGTAAACTCAGTAAATGGTTGCTGTTCCCCTGTTACTGGGCTCAGCTGAGAATGCAACAGCAGAGGAGATGCATGAGCCCTGCCCTCACAACTTACAATCTAGCAGGGTAGGCTGGCATTAAATAAGTGATTACAGAAGGCATGATGAATAGTAGGTATAGGATGCGGCAGGAGCATCTGGCTGGGAGGCCTAACCCTGAGATGGAATCAGAGAAAGTATCCCTGAGAAAGTGATGTTCTGCCTTATGGAGCTGATATGCTGATATTTCACTGAGAAAGTTTAGATTCCTTGGTTTAATGTTGCACGTTTCTGGAATACTGGCAAATGATTACTTCCAAGCCTTTCTCTTCCACTTGTCTGATTGAGGGCATGATGATCTTTTTCATCCAAAGCACCTGGCATTAGTACCTGGTTCATATAAATGTTCAAAAAGTCTTTGTTGAATTAAGTAGAATAAGTAGGTTTTACATTTTTTTCACATTCAGGATCCTGATGTCCCCAGAGAAAAAATCACCTTGTTAGCAACAGTGACATCTGGTGGTGAGAGTTGGAATTTGACTCCCCGCTTCTATAAATCCCCTAAGTACCCTCCCTTCTCTGTCAGAATTTTGGAGTGGAGGACTTGTGCAGTCTGTGCCTCTTGCCTCAGATGAAGAAAGGCTGTTCAGAGAGTTTCAGGGATTTGAAATTTAGGATCAACCCTCATATAAGTCTACAGCCCGTGGCAACATATCTACTCAACTAGAACAAAACTAAAGGAACAATCTTTTAAAGTTATGTGTCACATAGTGCAATTGCAAACGTGATCCTGTTTGAAAATTCTTCACTTAGAATGGGGAAAATTGAGAAAGGAAACCAAACATGCAGAGCTTACTTTCCCCTTAGTCACTGAAATGAAGCAAAAGAATTTGTTTTTAGCAAGACATAAGTTAGGGAACTTTCTTCTAAATTCAGTAGTGATAATGGTTCTAGAGTTGAGGCCAGCGTCTGTTTGGTCTCCTCAGAGGAACTTAGGAGTAGGTCCTCTCTAGTATTCTGAGCTTCTTATAATATTGGTGTTAGTTTTTTTTTTTCCTGTCCCCCATGTAACTGAAGTGTCACAGTGACTAAAATTTTGCAAAGTGAGGGGAAAATGCCATCATACCTTTCAGCCAGAGCCCTATGACCTAAAGCCAGCTCGTGTGCAACCATACTTAGTGTCTTCCCCGCTGGTCTCTGCCCTCCCCTCCCCGCCCACTGACTCACACATTTCTGTCAGTGATGTGCTCCATCTCCCACTGTCATACTCTGGGCTCAAAATCTTAGGAGCCCCTTTCCTTTCTCCTGTCACTTATCACTACTAAACCAGGGACCGAGTCCTGCCACTTTTTCATAAGCAAAGTCTCTCATCACTCACATTTGTCCTTTTCCTCTGCCTGTTGCCACCACTAAACCCAAGGCCTTCACCTCCTGTTCTGCCACCCAACTCCAGCAGTGACACTGGTGCCAGAGCCCTGTGCTCACCACTGCCTGACACCTTTGCTTATGCTCTACTCTTCCTGAATGTTTCCCTCCTCCACTCCCAGTGAATTCGGTGCTCTCCTTAAAGACCCAACCCAAATCCTACTTTTGATAAAGATGTTTTGTACTCTTCCAGGCCACAGTGAACTTTACCTTTTTCTAAATTTTGCCACATTCTCCACTATCATAATACTTACGTACGATGCTCTGCTGTATGTAAAATGCTTTAATAGTCTTCCATTAGTTCCTCACAAAAACTCCGAAGTACATATTGTCCTGACTTTTTCAATGAAGAAAGCTATAATTTATTCAAGGCCATACAAGTGAAAAGTGACGGAGCTGGGGCACAAACCAGAACTTGAGACCCTCGGTCACATGGAGAGACTGCATGATGGAAGGGAGGGCAGATATATAAAGTCATACCTGTTTAAGAAATACTTCTTCATTTTCATCCTCTGCCACACACACATACTCCCCATCAAGGTCCCAAAGTCTAATATTTTCCCCCATACACTATAGATCTTTATCTCAGATTTTTTTCATATATGAAAATCCTCAGCCAACATATGATGAATGAGATCACCATGTATACAAACACATCTTAGACAAAATAGCTCCATGGATAAAATAAGACGACTTGTTTTAAGACCAAAATAGCATTAAACAAAGTGTACTCGGGGTAATCTATGAGAGAACGGTGGGCAATAAAGCAAGCCCAAATCTATGGCAAGTTGGAGAGGTGGAACTGGCCAGTGTGTATCCATCTCCTTCCAGCAAGAAGGAACTTAAACCTGGAGAAAATGAAATATTTTTATCTATGTGAGGGCTCTCAGCTATGAAGAGGAATAATAAGGCTTGACCCTGGGTCAAAAATACCTCAAGGCACTTTGCCTCTGTTTGCTCTGTATCCATGCCCAAAATGTCTTTCTGATGACTCCTGGCTTCATGGGTGTCTGATTCTGGGAAGGGAGAGGCTCAGACTATCAGTCACAATCCCCTAAAGTAAACTGGTGGCTTTGTGTTCTGGTTTACATGTCAATCATTTAATACTATGACTCGTGTAGGTCTAGCCCTAATTTGGTACGATGACCAAATTAGATTTTGGACCTGCAAAGCTGAGGTTCATTAAATAAAGAACTCTGAACTGGAATTACCAAATGGAACCTTGGTTTTAAGCTGCAGCAAAGCTTACTTCCATTTTGAGGCAAAACAGCTAAATCTGTAATAATACATGACAACTGAAGAGCATTTCGGTTTACAAAACATTTTCATGACCAATTTGATTATCATGGTAATACAGGTACTATTGATATTTTAAGAAGAAAGTTGGGATTTGTGACTTAACTAATGTCACAGAATTAAATCCCATATATTCTTACTTCTGACAGTTAATTCAGTTTTGCTTCTCAGTAAGCGCAGGATCACTAACCACTTATATTTACTTATGAGTGGGAGAGGGAATATAATTTCAGTCGGGAAATCTGTTGACTTTAACTTTAAAAAGAAAAATAAGCATGGATAAAGGTCTCACTTTAAAGTTAGAGCTACATTGAACTGTGGAAAGGACCTAATCTGGGAATTAGAAAAAAGAACAGTTAAACCCACACGAATATGCTCAACTAATTTAAAAAAATTTTTATTGTAAAATATACATAACAAAATTTACCATTTAACTATTTTTAAACGTGCACTTCAGAGGCATTAAGTACACTTATAATGCTGTGCCACCATTGCCACCATCTGCCTCCAGAACCATTTTATCTGCCCAAACAGAAACTTCACGCCCTTAACAATAACCGCCCATTTCCCTTCCTGCCCCACCCCACCCCTGGCAATCTCTATTCTACTTCCTGTCTCTATGAATTCACCTATTCTAGATGGAATCATATATTAGTGGAATCATACAATAGTTGTCCTTCTGTCTGGTTTATTTCACTTAGCATGGTGTTTTCAAGGTTCATCCATGCTGTAGCCTGTATCAGAATTTCATTAGATGGCCAAATATTATTCCATCGTGTGGATATACCACATTTTGTTTACCCACTCATCTGTTGATGGACACTTGGGTTGTTTCCACCTTTTGACTACTATGAGTAATACTGCTATGAACATTGGGGTGTACAAGTATTTGAGCCCCTGCTTTAATATTTTGGGCAAATATTCAGAAGTAAAATTGCTGGATCATATGGTAATTCTATGTTTAACATATTGAGGAACTGCGGGACTTCTACAGCGGCTGCACCATTTTATATTCTGACCAGCCAAATATAAGGATTCCAGTTTTTCCACATCCTGGCCAACACTTGTTATTGGCCTTCCTTTTTTTAAAATAGCCATCCGATGGGTATGGAGTGAGATCACATTGTGGTTTTGATTTGCTTTTCCTAATGGCTATTGATGTGGAGCGTCTTTTCATGTGCTTACTGACCATCTGTCTATTTTTGTTGGAGGGATGTCTATTCAAGTCCTTTGCCCATTTTTGAATTGGGTTTTGTTGTTGAGTTTGCTCAACTGATTTTTGACAAAGATTCAAAAGCAATTCAGTGGAGGAAGGATACCTTTCAACAGATTGTACTGGAGCAATTGGACACCCATAGGGGAAAAAAACAAACTTTGACCTAAACCTTATACAAAAGTTACATTAAAGTAAATCATGAACATTAAACTCTAACACTTTTAGGAAATCATAGGGAAAAATCTTTGGAATCCAGGACTAGGCAAGGAATTCTTACACGACACCAAAAGCATGATTCATAAAAGAAAAATAGATAAATCGGACCTAATCATAATTTAAAAATTTTATTCTGTGAAAGTCCATGTCAAGAGAATTTAAAGACAAGCTATAAACTGGGAGAAGATATTTGCAAACGACATACCCAACAAAGTACTAGTACCAAGAATATAAAGAATTCTGAAAACTCAACAGTTAGAAACTGGGTAAGAGATGAACAGACACTTCACCAAGGAGGATATATAGATGGCAAAAAAGCACATGAAAAAAATGTTCGATATATTTATCATGTGCATTAGAACCACAGCGATATGTTACTACATACCTATTAGAAGGGCTAAAATAAAAAATAGTAACAACATCAAACACTGGCAAAGATGTGGAGAAACTAGATCATTCATACACATCACTGGTGGGAATGCAAAATGATACAGCCACTCTACAGAACTGTTTCTCAGTTTCTTATAAAACTAAAGACATGATTACATACAACTGTACTCTTAGACATTCGTTCCAGAAAAATGAAAACAGGTTCATATAAAAACCTGTAAATGAATGTTCATATCAGCTTTATTTGTAATAGCCTCAAACTGAAAACAGCCCAGAAGTCCTTCAATGGGTAGATGGTTAAATAAACCCTGGTACTTCCATACAATGGAAAACCACTCGGCAATAAAAAAGAACACATTATTGAGCCGCGTGACAATTTGGATGAATCTCTAGAGAATTATTCTGAGTCAAAAAGTCAATCCCCAAAGGTTACATACTATATTATTTCATTTTCATAACATTTTGAAATGACAGAATTTTAGAAATGAAGAACAGATTAGCAGTCAATGAGGGGTTAGGGTCTTGGGGTGGGGGTGGGGCAAAGGGAAGCAGGTGTGGTTATAAAAGTCTGACAAGGCAGGCGTCCTTGTGATTTGACTTTGATGGTCAAATCTACACATGTGATAAAACTGTATAAAATTAAATAAACAAAAATGAATACAAGTAAAATTGAGGAAATCTGAATAAAATAGATAGATTGTGTCAATGTTGATATTCTGGTCATGATGTACTAGAGTTTCGCAAAATGTCTGATACAGCATCTTCACGCACATCTATAGGTAAATGCCTTACAAGGGAAAAAATGAAAGACAAACACTATGAGATACGTGAAGCTTTTCAAATTACGAAGTCCTGGTTACATTTTGGAAACCTTCCATGGATAGCCTTTCCCAGAAATTTGTCTCCCACACCCATACAGCCCTGAATATAGTACTGACTTAAATTGGTAAGTGCCTTAAAAAAAAAAAAGCAACAAACATACAAATGTTTTCCACTATGACAATGAACCATGTTCATTATATTTAAAATCCTCTAAAGTGCAAAAATAAAAACACAGCACTGCAACTCCAGCACCTAAATATAGTAACGTTTAATATTTCTATGCATCCCTCCCAGTCTTGTTTCTGTGCCTGGTTTTAAAAAAACACAACTTTATTTATTTAGCAGTTACTATTTTGTGTCCTTTTTTTTCACTCATCATCACAAACGACCTTTTCCTCACAATGTTTTACATCTTTCAAAGACCTCCTGAATGGCTACGTCAATTTTCGTGATGGGCTCATTCGCTTTTCAGCTCCCCCTGCAGGACTGCGGACTGTGCATCTCTGTGCCAAACTTTGGTCCACGAAACTCATAAAACACTTGTTCCACAAGCGGATCACTGGCCTGACTTTAGTCTCAGGCACCAGATGCCCCCTTCCAGCCCGCCGCGCCTATGTCCACACCGCCGCGCCCTGGACCACCTGAGCCTCTCTCTTTCCGAACTCTCCGCGCCCTCCAGGCCGCCGTAGACTCGTGGTGACGTTTCGCGGGCGGCGGTGCTGGTTTCCCTGGTGACCGTTGCCGGGGCAGCGCTAGAAGGCGTCCGGAAGAGGTGCTACAGCAGTGGCTGCCAGAAGGCAGGAGTGAGCGCGGTAAGTGCGGAGAGGTGCGGGAGGGCGCGGGCTGGAGCCGGGGAGCCTGGGACTGCGGGGGACCCCGGCCTGGAGCGGGAGCGCACACGCTCGGCCGAGCGCGCTGCCTCCGGCCGGACGCAGAGCGAGGACTCTCTTGCCTCTTTCGATGGGTCTCCACACACAGCCCCCTCCCCTCTCCAGGCAGACACTTATTTTCCGCGCGGTACAGGGATCAGTGAGGCTCAAAGGGTGATCGCCTGCCCGAAGTCACACAGTCCGAACTCCACCTCGGGTCCGCCTGACCAGCGCCCTCTTCTGGTCTCTGCCACTGAGCTCCGCACCGCGCCTAGAGGTGGAGTGGGAACTGCGCGACCTGGCGGCACCCGCTTCCCCCAACCTCCCGCCCCAGGGCCAGCCCCTACAGGACCGGGGACACAAAGGTGGGAGTGCCCCTCAGAGCGGGAATCCCTCCGAAAGAACCAGTCATCTTCACCCCATTCCCAGCCCAGACTCATCCCTGCACTGATGCTGGCCTGGCCCGCAGTCAGTGAGCCCTGTTCTGCAGCCTTGTACAGGGCGCCCAACTAGGCTTCTTAGGGCCGTCCCCTCTCCTCCCCCAGGACTCCAGATGGTTGCTGGGAATACTTGACGAGAATATGGGGGGGAGGGGGAAGCACCCAAAACAAAACAAAAAGCAGAGAGGAGGAGGAAGAAAGAAAGAAGAAAAGAAAGACAAAGTGTCAGGCTGCTAGGGGCAAGGGAGGCTCATGCCTGGATGGGGCCGCAGCCCTCCTCACTGGTCCCTGTCCCCTGTCCCCTATGCGCTTGATTGCCTCTGGAATCTTGGCTTCGCCACAGGAAGTGGCGGTGGGTGGTGCCACTCTCCCCGTCCCAGGGCTCTAAGTCCTTCCTGAGCCGAGAGTTCCTTCCATGCAGCCTTAGCCTTACGTCAAAAATAAATAAATAACTAAAATTAATAGGTTTTATATCTTAGAGCGGTTTTAGATTTACAGAAACACTGGACAGAAAATACAGAAAGTCCTCATATTTTCCTCTCTCCTTTCCCCCATTATTAACATCCCACATTGGTGTGGTACATTTGTTACCACTGATAATCCTGTATGTTGTTATTAACTTTATAAGTGTATAGTTTACATTAGGGTTCACTTTTTGTATTGTACAGTTCTATGGGTTATGTCAGGTATCCACCATTAAAGTTTCATGCAGAATAGTTTCACTGCCCTAAAAATCCCCATGTGCTGCACTGTTCATCCTTTCTTCCATCTTCCTAACCCCTGCAACCACTGATCTTTCTACTCTCTCTATGGTTTTGCCTTTTCCAGAATGTCATATAGTTGGAATCATATAGCATACAGCAGACTTTTCATACTGTCTTCTTCACTTAGCAATATGTAGTTAAGTTTTCTTTATGTCTTTTTGTGGTTTGAAGTTCATTTCTTTTCATCAATGATTAATATTCCCTTGTATGGGTGTACCAGTTTATCTGTTCACCTATTGAGGGACATCTTGATTGCTTCTGATTTTTGATAATTATGAATATAGCTGCTATAAACATTTGCTTACAGGTTTTTGTGTAGACATACGTTTTCAACTCATTTAGGTAAATATGATTGCTGAATCATGTAGAAAGACTGTGTTTAACTTTGAAAGAAACTTCCAGACTGCCTTCCAAAGCAGCTGTACTATTTTGCATTTCCACCAGTAATGAACGAACATTCCTGTTGCTTCACATCCTTGTCAGCATTTGGTGTTGTCAGTATTTTGGATTTTAGCCATTCTGATAGGCGTGTAGTGGCATCTCATTGTTGTTTTAATTCGCAATTTCTAATTACATATGATTTTGAACTTTTCATGGGCTTATCTGCCATCTGTATATCTTCTTTGATGAGTTGTGTGTTTTGATCTTTAGCTCACTTTTTAATTGGGTTGTTTTGATATTTTTAAGTTTTAAGAATTCTTTGTGTATTTTGGATACAGTCCTTTATTAGATATTTGTTTTACAGATTTTCTTCCAGTCTCTGGCTTGTCTTTCTATTCTCTTAATAGTGCCTTTGCAGAGCAGAAGTTTTTAATTTTAATGAAATACAACTTGTCAAATTTTTCTTACACGGATCATGCTTTTGCTATTGTATCTAAAAACTAATTGCCAAAACCCAAGGTCATCTAGATTTTTCTTCCATATTATCTTCTAGAAGTTTTATAGCTTTGCATGTTAGACATAGGTTCATGATCCATTTTGAGTTATTGCTTGTGAAGTGTATAAGGACTGTGTCTTATTCTTTTTTTTTTTTTTTTTTTTTTTTGCATGTGGACGACCAGTTTTCCCATCACCATTTGTTGAAAAGACTATTTTTTCCTCACTGGATTACCTTTACTTCTTTGAACAAGATCAGTTGACTCTTTTTGTATGGGTCAATTTTGGGCTTTCTATTCTCTTCTTGTAATCTATTGGTCTATTATTTCACAGATACCACACCCTCTTGATTACTGTAGCCTTATAGTAAGTCTTGAATCCAACAGCATCAATCTTGAAACTTTGTTCTTCTCCTTCAATGTTGCATTGACTATTCTGGGTCTTTTGCCCCTCATATAAAGTTTAGAATCAGTTTGTTAATATCTACAAAGTAACTTGGTGAGATTTTTATCGTTATTGTGATTGCATTGAATCTATAGATCAAGTTGGGAATAATTAACATGTTAACAATGTTGAGTCTTCCTATCCATGTACATGGGTCTTCCCAGCCAATCTCTCAAAGCACTTACCACCCCTCTCTCAGTTCTGGCTCATTATTAGGCTCACCTGGGAAGCTTTAAAAAATAGATGCCCAGGCCATAGTCCAGATAAGTGAAATACAAATCTCCACTGGCTGCATGAGTAGATGCTAACACTACAGGGGCTGAGTTAAACCTCAAAAGTCTTGTTAGTGCAGGCATGCTGTCTGTCTCCCAGAGGCTTATTGGGCCAAGGATACTCCATGATATATGATGAGAAAGATAATAACAGCTAAACTATTAGGAGTGCTTATATGCTAGGCACTATATTTCCATTCATTCTGTCATTTAATCCTTACAACCATCCTGTGAAGTATATAATGATTATCATCCCATTTTACAGATGAAGAAACTGAAGCACAGAGAGATTAAGTAATTTGCCCAGGAAACAGTGTATGTCCAGAAGTACCTGTTGCCTAGTGACTCCAAGTGCACGTTGAAAATAGAAAAGGAAAAAGGTTTTACAAGTTGCTGTGTTCATTTATTTATTTACCCATTCACTTATTCCTTCTCTCATCTCTGAGCACCTGTTATATTCATTCAATGACAGTTCTACAAATATTAATTGAAAGCCTATTCTGGGCAAGATGCCGAAAATTAAACAATGAATAAGACATTAGACCCCAGCCCTTAAGAGGCCTCTTAGTAGAAAGAAGGAATATGAAGAAAGTCACAGATAATTATAATACATTGAAGTAAGTTTAGTGATCAATGGATATCTGGGGGATTCTAGGAGTCCAAGAGTGCCACCAGGGCACTAAAGGCTAGATGGGAGTTTGTGGGAAGGAGAAGGGGTGCCTGGGGAAGAAGGCATCCCAGGCAGGTCAAGTGGCTGATGAGGGTCACAAACCCAAACACCTGCAGGGGCTGATTGCAAATGAAAGTGGGTGAATCCAGCAGGTCTCAGAGAGAGAACAGCATTTACTGCACTTATAACAGGCAGCTGATGTGCCAGCTGCAGCATCTGGGAGTGGGAGGGACCATGGTTGAGTGGTAAGAACGTACTCTGCCTATAGGGAACGCCCTCTGTCAGCAGCTGCTGTCCATGTGGGACAATGGGCCCAGAATAGCCAGATCTGTAAACTTTTATAAAAGAAGCTGGAAATCTGGATTTAATTGAAATCTACAGATCTTTGAATGTTGGAAACAAAGTAAAATCCTAACATAGCATCCCGTGAGAGTCAAACAAAAATATCTGTGGGCTGGATGCAGCCCTTGGGCCAGCCAGAGTGTCCTCTGCGAGTCTTGGCAAGGCCTTGCAGAAGCAGGAGCCAGTTAGATCTGGTTTTAGAAAGGTCATGTGCAGTACGGATTAAAGAGACAAAGACGAGACCCAGGGAGCTAAGACGGGAAGCAGGTAGCCAGAGAGATGGGGAGGCACTGGGGGGATACTGGGGTGAGCCTGATGCCACCCAACTTCTGGAGCAGGCAGGAGATGAGGTGCAGAGGAGGTGACTGACCTTATGATGTGAAACGGCGGCTGTGGATGCTGGAGGCAGCCGTGTCGTGGGGCTTGGCCACTGTGGGCCCAGCAGCCAGGGAAGGCTTTCTGTGGATGGGTCATAAGAATCACTGTGAGGGGCAGCAAGCGCCTGGATGTGGGGCAAGTGGAGGAGGAAAGGACTCTTCAAGGGAGACCACCAGGAGGGGAGACAAGAATAACATTTCGTTCTTACCAACACAGAGCTGGCAAAAGCGTTTCACACACACGCCTTTGCCTTTGCCTCTCACCACATCTATGGCCTCTGTGTCATCAGCTTCTGCTCACTGAAGGAAGGACTGAGGCCTGCAGAGGTGGAGAAATTTTTTAGACTCACACAGCCAGTACAGAGCCAAGTTCACCACTGTTTTACATGCTGGTCACGGCCTTCGAGTTGCTTTCCTGACTCGCCGTTGACCCAAATGATTATGAATAGCTCTCGCTTTCACTCTCCAAAGTGACCCGATTTGGAAAATGAAGTCTGTGGTCCCTTCTTCTAATCTGCAAAAATAGGGAATCACAGGATAAACTTATTTTTAAATTCTATTAGTTACATTTTCAAATAATGGGCTCAGTAGGGTTTTCTTCAATCTCTAGACACCTTTTCAGATCAAGTGTCTCTGTGTCAGGTTGGCAGACCAAGGTCCCCAATCACGCGCACTGTTTCTGCAGTAAAGTTTAATGGGAGCACAGCCACACACGCTCATTTACATCTCGTCTGCGGCTTTCCATGCCGGTCACGGCATGCTTTCCACTGCAGTGGGCAGAGTTCAGTAGTTGCAACAGAAGCCATACGGCCCACAAAGTCTAAAATAGTTACAGAAAAAGTAAATTGGACTCAGTGTTGCAAAATTAGGCAAATCAGACTTTTCCGGTGAGGTGTAGGGACAGAGGAGCACGGTGACATGAGAACTTGGCGTCGCGAAGGGGGAAACAGGCTGGGATGGGCATCTACTGAAGCTTTCAGAACGGGGGCCCGTCAGGCTCAGGGCTGTGCTCTAGAGAAGGTATTCGGCCAGCGAATGCTTGAAAGAGGGGAGAGGGAGAAGGGCAGTGAGGGCAGTGGGGACCTGTTCTAGCAGTCCCGGGGACAAAACCATCCATCATTCATTCACCAAATGCTCATCTCATGCCTGCTATGCACAAGGCCCTGGTACTGGCACTGAGGATCCATCCAGTGGTGAACATCACACAGTGCCTGCCATGGTAGAGCTGCCTGGGAGGGAGACAAGCCATCAACGAACAAATATAAAATGTGTCAGGTGAAGCTAAGCGTGATGGAGAAAGATAAAACAGGGTAATGGGCACGGGGAGTGAGGGTAGAAATGCTTCCTACAATAGAATTGGGGAGGAAGGCCTTTCTGATAAGGTGACATTTGAGAGAGGCGAGCAAGGCGGACGTCTGGGGAAAAGCAATCCAGGGGAGGGAACAGCAGCTGCAAATGCCCTGAGGTGGCCAGGAGCATGATAATGATAGCGGTCTCAGCAGGGATGGAAATATAGGGACAGAATCGAAAACATTTGTGGAGAATCAACAAGACTTATGACTAATTGGTTGGTGGGTGGATGATGCAACTTGAGTTTGGTTTAAGTCAGGGATGCTTAACTGGCTACGCTTTAAAAGCATGTGGGGAGCGTTTAAAAATTCCAGTGTTCATGCCCTATTATTCTATTTATGTGAAGCTCAAAAGTAGGCAGACATCCAGAATGCATAAGGAACTCAATAAGAAGGCAACACAATTTTTTAAATGGGCAAAATAATGTGAGTAGACATGTCACAGAAGAAGATATGCAAATGATCAGTAAGTACATGAAAAGATGCTCAATCATGAAAATGCAAATTGAAACCACGTTGAGATACCACTGTATACCCACTAGAAAGATTAAAATTTAGACTGACCATACTAAGTGTTGGCAAGGATGTGGAGCAGCTGGAACTCTCACGCACTGCTGGTGGGAATGTAAATGGTACAGACATTCTGGAAAACAATTTAGCAGTTTCTTATAAAGCTAACATAAATTTACCATACAACCCAGCATTTTTTTACTTCTAGGTATTTACCCAAGAGAAGAAATAAACACATATGTCCACGTGAAGGCTTTCTTGTATATAAATATTCATAATGGCTTTATTCCTAATAGCCCATAATGGAAACAGCTCGGGTGTCCCATAACAGGTGAATGTATGAACAAATTATGATATATCTGTACAATGGAATACTACCCAGCAATAAAAGGGATGAACTAATGACGGATGCAACGACATGGGTGAATCTCTAAAAGATAGTGCTAAGGAAAAACAAAGCAAACACAAAGATTACCTACTGTATGATTCCAGTTATATGAAATTCTAGAAAAGGCAAAACTGTAGTGACCAAAAGCAGATGAGAGTTTGCCTGGGATTGGGACTCCCTGGGGGATCGATTGCAAAGGGGTGTAAAGGAGCTTTTTGGTGTAATAGAAATGTTTGATCATGATGGTGGTGGTGGTTTACACAGGTGTATATATTTGTCAAAACTCATTTGCACACATAAAATCAGTGTATTTTATTCTGTGCAAATCATACTTCAATGGAACTGATGTTAAAAAAAAAAAATAGACAAAACTCATCTTCAGTGGCAGAAGCCAGAACAGTGGTTACCTTGGGGGACTGCCTTGACTGGACAAGCACAACATAACCTGAGCAGGGGCAGGAAGTACCCTACACCTTGATCCGGGATCACCACAGGGGTGTATACGTATGTGAAGATTCGCTGAGCTGTACACTCAGGATTTATGCACTTTACTGTATATAAATTATACCTCGATTAAAAAAAATAATGACATCCAAGCCCATTTCTAGAAATTGGGATTTCATTGGTTCAGGGATATATCTAAGCATTGTTATATTTTAGGAGCTCCTGTGACATTCTAATGGTCAGCCGGAGTTGAGGGCAACTGTTTTAGGAATAGGAAGGGGTGAAGTGTTGAATCAGAGTGATGGAGGAATATTCTGATGCCATTTGAAGTCTGGTGGCACGGTCAGGACCAGGGAAGGATGCTCAGCTTTGGCTTTTGGGGGATTTGAGGTTAAGGTGGGTCTCTAAGCTTCCACATGGACACATGTAAAGGTAAGCAGGAAACTCCAGGGTTGGCGGCTATGGACAGGGCTGACTGTGTGCTGAGCGTTCTTGGGAACTGCACGCTTTGTGGAGGTTGCTTCAGCTTAGATTTCTTTTTCTACTTCTAGGGCAAGATGGCAGAAGACGAAGCCTCTCAGGACACCTTGCGGCTCCAGTTCAAGGCCATGCAGGAGATGCAGCACAAAAGGTTACAGAAGCAGATGCAGAAAAAGAAGGAAAAGGAACTGAGTCTCAACCGCAAAGACGATGACCAAAAAGAACCCTTGGAGATCTCCGATGGCCTCAGTTTTCTCCAGGCTGGGGAGCAAAACTTGAAAAACAGCTTTGAGCAGAGGTAAATGCAAGTCTGAACTCTCCCAGGAGCACTGCAGGGAGGTAGGGTGGTGGGGGAGAAGTGATTACAGACACATAACAAGGTTGATTAGATGCGTGTTTATAAACTGAGACGAAGAGGTTTTGACACAGAGGATGTTATTGAAGACTGGCATCCGATAGATCTGTGCTCCCGAGAAAATAATTTGATAAGAAATGTGCTTAAAAACCATTTAAAGTCAAGTTGAAATTTCGAAACTCATAAGCATATAGTTTATTCACTTGAATTTCACTCATTTTTTAATTTTTTTTGCAAATACCGTCGACCTACAATATTATATTAGTTTCGGGTGTACAATAGTCACACAAATTTTCTTATGCAATCTCTCATGGAAAGTGTGTTTGGTTTTCTGAGGAGCCGGTTGGCTGACTCTGATGGTTTATAGATCTCATCTGAGGTTATTGTCCCTGTCAATTTCCCTTTCCTGACACATAGCAATATATAAGCCTGCCTGTCCTAAGGGAACACTCTGTAGGTTCCTTGCTATTTACAGTTGGTGGAAAAGTTGGAAAGAGTCCAGAATCTTCTCATTTTGCTCTAAATTCAACAACACAGGTGCATATTGATCTATACTGGTTATTAGACGTGGGAGTCTGTATTGATACAAAATTCTCTGCTAGTTAATTTACTAAAAAAATTCCCAACAATTGTTAAGCTCTCTCTTTGCTTCTGGTTTCACCCAGAATCTTTTTTTCCCATCTTTAAATTCCACTTTTTATAATTTCTCAATTTTCAAAATGTTCTACTAAGAAATGCTAATTGGGAGAAAACAAAGATTTCTCAATAATTGAAAAAGATTCATATGGCTCTTAAATATTAGCTCAAAATTAACCCCAGATCCATTTCCAAATGATCTTTCCCCAAATCAGAGAAACTAATTGGTGGAGACTTGAGCCATTGGTGGAAAAACAACAACAATAATAATAGCTGTTACCCCATACTTAGTGTTAACTGTAACTTCTATAATTGACTTACTTCCTGAGCAACTGTTCTAGGGAGCCTGTCGTGTGCGTAATAATAGAAGTGATCACAGATCCATCGGTCACACGTTTCTCATATTCTGAAAAAAGCCTGCAAAACAACTGCCTAGGACTTACGGCTCTGACCATTCCTCTGTGCTCTTATAATACATATATGCAATTAAGACTATAAATGTCCTTCTAAGCATCACACGTTTTGCTATATATCGATTCTGCAGTCAATTCATTCTAAATGCTTCATAATACATATTTTGATTACATCTTAACCCATAACTAATTTAGATGTGTGTTTTGTTTTGTTTTTTAGTTCTAAACATATGATGGGTTTAGGGTTTTGTTTTTTCTTTTATTTTTGCTATATTTTTAGTATTGATTTCTAATTATAGTCAATTGCCATCATAGAAAATGGTCTGTATGATGTCCATTCTTTGTAGCTTATATTAATATACTTTTTATGCATGTTCTATGGATGCTTAAAAGGAATAGAAATTCTCTGAGTGGGGGTTTTATATCTCTCTGTCAAAAACATAATAAACTATGTTACTGAAAACTTCTTTCCCCTTTCAAATGTGTGTGTGCGAGTGTGTGCATGAGTGTGCTGAATCACTCCGTTTCGAGGACAGTAGATTAAAATCTGCTCATTGCGATTTTTCAAATTTTGCTTTCCTGTTTTGTACAGACCAGTTCTGATCATCACCCAGAGCCCAACGAGGTACAACAACCCTGGGCAGTGAAGACCCGATCCCTGCCCGTTGGTCCCCGTGAAGAAACAGTAATCTCGCCTTTGCCTTGCAGGGTGCTTGAAGATGAGATTGAGCAGCTTCGCCATCAGCTCAGGGAAACAGTGGATGAGAACGGGCGACTGTATAAGCTGTTGAAGGAAAGGGACTTTGAGATCAAACACCTCAAGAAGAAAATAGAAGAGGACAGATTTGCCTTCACAGGTAACTCCACCATTGTTGGAACAGCCCCCGCCCCAAAGCCCGGGTGCCCTGAAGGCCAGGCCCCGCTGCCGTGGGGCCTTCCCGGCACGGCAAGCACAGGTTCCAGAGGGCAGGTGCCCCAGAAAGAATGCCAAGGGTCAGGTGTGGTCAAGCTGTCCAGATAAGTCCTGGAAATGAGAGCGAGGATAGAGGGGGAGACCAGGCCAAGGACGCCCGCACGCCAGGAAGTGGGAGGCCCAGAATGGCCGGCAGGCGTTCTGGGCAGTGTTGGTGACTCTGCTGGGACTCATCACTCCGTGATGCTCGCTGTGTGTTCACTGGGCCAGCAGGATCCACTTAACTGTGGTGCTCTGGCTCCCTGTTGTACTGTGGACGTGAAAAGTGCTGGTAGGAACAGGCATTTACTCTATAGCATTCGCTATTGCTTCTCCAGAAAGGTGGATGACGCAGGATTTCCTAGGACCCACGGCTTTAGTGGACCTTGGCCCTCAGGTCTGGGCCAGACCTTGTCTCCGTCAGTGGAGACACTGGCCCTGTGGATGTGGTGGGGACCTTCGCTTTGTGCGTTTAAGATGACCTTAGCCCTGTGGGTGTGGGCTGGACATTAGCTCTGCAGTTATGAGCTAGACCTTGGCCCTGCAGAGCTGGTGAGATCTTTGGCCTCTGCTCCATGTATGCCCGTGGAGCAATTCCCAAGTGTCTGACTAATAAACCACAAAGTCAGTGTCACCAGAGAGCAACAGGCCTCACCAGACATCTGTCAGAGCATCCCTTCCTGCCTTTGATCTGAAAGGCTTTTAAGGGTGAGTCCACCCAGAGGACCAGCACTGAATTAAAAAACAAGGGAATCTGGCATCTCAAAGGCCCTTGACAGCCAAGTGTGCCTCCCTCCATCTGTTAGCCTTTTCTGTCTAGAACAAAAGCACACCAAAGAGAAGACTTTGTGTCGTAAGGGACGGAAACGCTCTCAACCTGGCTCAGGGTTCCGATGTGAGGGGGCCGCTTGCCCTTTTGCAAGGCTGCAGAGAAGATGGTTGGGCTCCAGCAGGAGAGCAGACGGCCTCCCCACCCCAGGTGACCTGCGAGACTGGGCTACTCCCTCCTGCCCCAGGAGAGTTCTCTCTCTCTTATCCGTCTCTGCCAGTTTGCTCATGGCCTCTGATCGCCAGCCCCAAATCAATCTTACATGCCCCTCCTCTTAAATCCAGTCCTCACTCTGAAGTCACCGTTTCTGATTTCCGGCTTCAGGTTTTAAAGAGAAAAGTCTGACTGGCCCGGTTCATGTTTTTGAACCAGGCCATGAGTGACAGGCTGCGGGGCAGGCGAAGCACTGTGTTTTTAGTGGTTGCTATAGTTTAGTGGATTTTTTTTTTAACTCTATTTCTTGATACTATTTTTTTTTAAGCCTACAGCACCTAGTATTCTCAGGCAGTCTCTCATCCAAGTACTAACCAGGCCCAAGCCTGCTTAGCTTCTGAGATCAGACAAGATCAGGCGCATTCAGGGTGGTACGGCCGTAGGCTCGGTACTATTTTTTAGTGATCACTCTAGTGATTACAGTGTACAGACTTAACTTCTTACAGTCTACTTAGAATTACTATTTTATCACTTCGAGTGGAATGAAGAAACTTTGCCACCACGTAGTTCCCTTTACCCACTCCATCGCAGCTTTTATCTGTATTATTTCTATATATATTGAAAAATCCCATCAGACGGTATTACTATGTTTGCTTTCAACCATTATACGTATTTTAAAGAACTTAAGGAGACGAAAATAGTCTACTCTTCTTACCCAAATGTCGAGCATTTCTGTGCTTGTTCATTCACTCGCGCCCCGCCTCCCCCTCACGCTTATGGGTTAGCAGCTCAAGGGCGGAGCTTGTCGTAGACAAGTTCGGGAGACAACAGGAAAAAAACCAGAGGGTTCACCCCATTCTCTCTGAGCGCCCCTTCCTGCCCCTTAGACTAGAGAGGGCTTCTCTAGACCTCTTCCTGAGGTCTGGTTCCAGGATATTTAATGCTCTCCAGTCCGGGGAGGAAGACATAACCCAGAGAACTCACCACTGGACTATTCGTACCCCTAGACCTGGTGTCCATCCCAGCATCCTAGGCCCTTTCTCCTGAGGTGTCCTCATTCTATTCAGCGGACTGGAGGTTGCCAAGGGCAACCTATTCACTGCCTGGCTCAGGCCAGCTGCACAAGGCTGGGCAGAGTTGATTTGAAAATCATCGTACACCTTTGTTCACCTTCCACCGGTTGTCACTCTCAGTCTTGTTCTGAGGCGCATCGCAGTCTGAAAAGTAGTTCCAAGAAGGTATCTCTGCCACTCACCCGCCGCTTGGAGTGTCAGCAGCCTTCGGGGAACTTGGTGACCCTCTGGTCAAAACCGCTGTTGCACGCGTGGGGAAACTGCCCTCCAGCGAGGGCGAGGATGGATGGATGGACCGCAAGGCTACCCAGCCAGCTCCCGCCGCCCGCTCCTGAATGGCCCCACGCCGCGCAACCGCCCCCATTTCCATCCCTCCAGTCGGCCCTGGTACAGCCTCCGGCCCTTGCCCGCTGCCTTCCGGCTGCTTCCTCGGACACTCCAAGCCCCTTCCTGCCTCCGGGACTTTGCACCTGCCATTTCCTCGGCTCAGAATCGCTGTTCCTAGCTGGGAGCGCTCTTCACGGCCGACCCCTCACTGCATTCCTCCAGGTCTCTGTTCACACGTCACCTCCCCAGAGAGGCCTCTCCTGACCGTCACTGCATTAAAACAGCATCACCCCCATCCCTCTCAGCTCCTAGCTCAGCCTGTTTGTTTCATAGCAGTCATTACTCCCACGTATGACAATACATGTTTATGTGTTTGGTTTCTATTATCTGTCTCCCCCGCTAGAATGTAAATTCAGTGTCTTTTTTACTCGCCATTGAATCCCTAACACTCAGAGTGTTCAACACTTGGTAGAAACTCCATACATATTTACTAAATGAGCATACGCATTTGTATTTTTAGGTGTTACCACAAAATTCTGTGTAACGAACAACCACATACTTTCGGCAGCATTTGGCTCAAACATCTGGGGGTTAGTTGGGGAGGAGTTGATCTAGGCTGGGGCTTGGCTAGGGTGGTTCAGCTTTGTCCCATGTGTCTCTTCCTGGTCCTGGGACCAGGCAGCTGGCCTGCCTGTGTTCCTGTGGGAAAAGCATTTAAGTACACAAGTGCTTTTCAAGCTTCCACCTGCACCTTATCTGCTAGCATCCCATTGGCTGATCCCAGAGTCAGGCAGGCATAGAGGGGTGGAGGGAGTACACCCTTCTCACTGGAAGGCACCGCAGAATTGCAGAACCCAGGGTGTGGGTGTGTAACCCTTTCAGTGAGGAGGGCATGAAGAACTGGCACAATAAACTTATCGCCCGTGGAATTAAAACTCTGCTTCCTGATTTTATAATTTTCCTAGAACATGCTGAACCTCCAAGTGGCTGCGTCTCCACTCACTGGAGCTGGGTTTCGGGGTGCCCGCATGTGCGGTCACTCTCCCGAGCCTCTGCTCCGCCCCGGCCATTCACACCAAGCGGCTCGAGCTCGTAAAGGCTGTTCGTTCTGTGCCGTGAGTTCGAGGCGTGGGCCTGCGGTTTTTAACTGACCTCACTATTTTCCTTCTTAGGGACGGCCGGTATGGCGGGGGACGCCATCGCCACCAAAATCGTCGAGCTGTCCAAAAAGAACCGGGTGCTGACGGCAGAGTCGGAGGGCGCAAAAACCAGAGAGAAGCAGCTGAGCAATCGCACCCAGGAGCTGGAGCGGGAAGTGAGGCCCTTGGTCATCCCTCCCTCCGGAGGGGACCTCGGCACCCGGGGCCCGTCCTCCCGAGTGGGAGCCACACTTAGATGCGTTGGGTCCTTCTGAAGGGTTTGTGGGTCAGTGTTTACAGTCAGTTCCTCAGTCTTTGTCACATCCTGAGAGGGGAAAGTGTGTCCGGAAGCCAGAGGGACACAGGTCATGGAGAGGCGGCCTGGCAGAGTGGTTAGGACACGGACCCGGAGCCTGGCTGCCCGGGTACGAATCTCAGCTCCATTCCCGACTTACTCTGTGACTTCGAGGGAGTCATGAACTCTCTGTGCCTCAGTTTCCTCCATCCGTCACGTGCAGGAATAAATACTAACCCTAGGTTTTCTGAGCATTAAATGGCTTAACATTGTAAAGTGCTTAGAACAGGGTTGAGCATTTAGTGAGCACTGGATAAACGTTGGTTAAATACATTAATGGGGACCCTTGCCGATTCGAAGCTGTTGCCAGGGGCATTCCACCGGTTGGTGTCCCTTTTGTCCCATCTTCCTCTTGCTGCTGCTCCCTGCCCCCCGACTGCTAATCACAAACCCCTCCAGTCGCACAGGGGCATCGCCCCAGCAGTTCATGGTCCCTGAGGAGCTAGAACGGAATCCATGTGCCAGAGAGAACCTACACTGCTTCTCCTTATATGGCTGAAGAAGCCGAGGCTGGAAGAGGTCAGTTGAGAGGCTTCCTCGAGCCCCACAGTGTGTGGTGATGCCGGGTTTCCAGTCCGATTCTCTTGCTCTCCAAAATCCCCTCCAGTCACTGTACCTGGCGCGGAATCAGAGCTGCTTTATTCTACAACAGAGATTTTGAGAATCATCGCAGGCTCTGTGCCAGGCCCCGGAGAGACTTCGGGGAGCAAAACAGGCCCGGTCCTTGCCCTCCTGGGGGACGGACCAGCCCCCAGGGCTTCCTCTAGGAGGGAGCAGCCCACCGGGTCCCTGGAGGATGGCAAGGGGCCAGACTCGGAGTGGCTGGGGAGGGGCTTCTATGCAGGGCCCAGCAGGGGCTAAAGTCTTGAGTGGGGCAGAAGGCCTGGAAAGAGAGCCATGTGGCCAGAACGGAACAAGATCAGGTCCGAGCGCTGGGGGGCGGGTCCTGCCCCGCCTTGTCGGGCAGGGTGGGGTCTTTGTGGGAAGAACGATAAGGAAACCAGTGAAGAGTCGGCCGGCCGGCTGGATACCGTGGTGGCCTTGGCTGCCAGGCGTGAGACCACAGAGCAAGTTTCTCGGTGTCTCTGCCGCTGTCTCCTCGTCTGTAACGCGAAGTCCGCAACCCCTTTGCCCTCCCCGCCCAGGCCGTCGTTAGAACGCAGACCCTGGCTGCAGTGTTATTATTTATCAAGCTGTTAGGGAATCCTAGGGGGTGCCCTTCCGTGCAACTGGGGCACTCAGCAGACAAGCCATCAAACCGTCCCCCACGTCAGGGCAGTAGGTAAAGGAGAGCTCGTCCCTCAGTAATCCTAGCGTGAGATGAAAGGCCACCACCAAGATGGGTAACTGCATGGCCAACGGTGACGCTTCCCTCGGGCCCCGCAGTTGCTGAGCAGATTAAGTATTAAGCGCGAGATTTGCTTTTTCAGCTGCAGATGGCCCTCGCCAGGCTGCCAGCCAAGGGGGCCACCGATGCAGGAGCCAAGCCGCCAAGGACCCAGACGGGAGACAGAGCCTTGGTATGAATTCTCTTCTGCGCTGGGGACTCAGTGAGGCAGCCATGGGCCGGGCCTCCCCTTTGCCATGGGAGTGTAGGTGCCTCTGTCCGGGGCCCACCTGCACCCCACTGCTGAGCCAGTGCCACCACCACAGCAGCT